ATTTTATTAATCTCCACGGTGCCTATTTGGAGACGCACAAAAGGCAGTTTCTAAACGTATTAACAGAACGTAAACGGCGATGAGAGTTGTTAAATGAGGTGCTAACAGCACGTGATTGCGCTTTCTTCTCGATGTGAAAATCTCTGAGTGACCTTCACGTCCCTTGTTTCTGACTAAATGAGATAGAATTTCCTTCACCAGAGCCGCATGTGCCTCACTTTCTGATTCCTGGCTATTTGCATTTTCTTACTCCTCTGTGATATGAAAACAAAATGGATACAATGTCATTTGGTAGCCTGACAGTCTTTAGCTCAGCTTCGATTCCAACATGGCTTAGATTTCAGAGCACGCCTTAATATTAGGGACTTTACGAGAGCGTGAGTCAAGAGGTTTTTCAGAGTCCGTAAATCCATTCATTGTCGTTGACTATATGAGACGCTAACGTGTCCGGCGCTAAAAAATGCCAACATGTTTCTCTACTGCAAAACATGACTGAGGACTTCTCATACAGTTTGAGACATGACAGACAGTATCGGAAGTAGGCGTCTCAGAGACTAACTTAAGATGCATTTGAAAGAGAGGGTAAATCAGGAATCCGTGGTGCACTGTGACACCAGCAAAATCAGGCTTCTACTTGGCATTGAACCAGGATGCCTTTGCACGTAAAGCAAGTGCAGAACTACTACTCTGCAGAAAGTATCAGGACACTCCAAGTGTACGTTTTAAAATGATGACCATCTGTGCAGTACGAACAGCGCATATTCAGGACCAGGCAGGAGAGAAACTTAACGAAAAATAGCACTGCAATTCAGTGGAATTGTATTCCTTTTCGACACAACCACAGAGATGTCCGAATACATTCAAAAGAAGGGTGGCTGACGAGAAGAGCAAACAGGAAAGCTCTGTCGACATCAGTGCGGAAGCCTGTTATTGGTAATGGCGGGGCAAACCCTGCAGCTTGTGCCTGGTTTCCAACAGGGGACGTTCGGCGTGTGAGGCGACCGTGATAACGACTACACTACAGACACACGATACACTGCCGTTGTGCCCGCTCAATTTCGTACAGCATTGAAATTTGCAGCCCATCACGTTTTACTTTTCAATTTCAAATAGATTGACGTTGTCCAAGCTTATTGGTATTATTGGGAAATAAAGAAATTCACGTAAAATTACTCAAAAAATATTCACAATGTGGTTGCCAGGGTTGCATGGTTTGGACTTTAGGGCGAAGCCGAAGAGGCTGGGCGAAATTTCCCTGCAGCGTCGGAGGATGAGAAGCTAGAGAAATTTATAAAGTCATGAGGGATATGAACAGAATGAATTTTCGAGATCTTTTTTCACGGGGTGGGCGAGTCCAAAACTACAGGGCATACATTTAAGGTGAGAGGGGAAAAATGAAATGGGAGCTGAGGGGCATTTTTCACGCAGAAGGTGGTGCGTGTATGGAATGAACTGACGGAGGAAGTTGTGGAGGCTGGTGAAATGACAACATTTCAAATGCACCTGGATGCGTGCATGAATCGGAAGTGTTTGGAGGGATAAGGACCAAATGCTGGCAAATGGGGCTAAATGAAATTAGGATCCTCCCACAGTCGCTGGGTCACCGAATTTTAAAGTTTCACCCCATTCTGACCTTCCCACATCTCCGTCCGTTATTTGGTAAGTATTCCTGTAGTGGAAAATTCATTATGTACATTCTAAACGATTAACGTAATGTGGAAAACGTGTGTCCAGTGGCGCAATCGGTCAGTGCGTGATAGTTATATGACAGTGTAGAGGCCTGTGAAATACCCGTTATGAGTTCGACCTTCACGTGGATTAGCTTTTACTGACATGGGGATAGTACACTAAGAATAAGGGCCACGTTGAGCAAATTCGACTTTATTGGAAAGTGTCCGTTTCTGTGGATTGAGAAACGAATTTTCCGGTTGGAAATATCTCAATTATCAAAAATATCCGGCACGTATTCAATGCGTGTGGGAACATCTGCGGAGAGAAAACCGAATGTGATGTTTCAGCTCGATCACCTTTATCACGTGGCTGACCCTGCACTGGTTGCACT